TAAATCCTTCTCTCCTAGGCAACAAGCTGACTGACTTTAGTTTCTACATTTCTTTGTTTTATTCATTCATTCTCGACTGTATAACTGGTAGCTTCATCCATGGGGTATTCTAGTTTTGCAGCTTATGACTGTTTGAAACAGCCAAAGTGATATAGGAACTTGAATCAGCATGTCAGCCTAAGCTGATTGCAGTGCTCCTGCAGCTGTGGCTGGGCAGGCTTTTGTCAGGCTATGCAAGATGCAAACAGCACTTACTCTAACACAGCATGGTTTGGGTGACCCTCAGGAGTGCTCACACGAGCTGAGAATACAATCCACAGTGAACTAAACTTAATGCCTGGCCATTCATGGGAGCAGGCCCTCAGTTTCATACACCTGCACAGCCTTTAAGGACACATCAGCACTTGGGCAGTGGCACACGCAAGAGGCAGCAGTCACACATGTAGGACGTGCCCTACCACACTGCCCTTACCTCTCCCCTCAGAGGACAGCATTGGTGAGAAGTACCTGAGAGCAGCTCAGGGTCTGGTCAGCCCCATCTCCAGGCAGGCCTGGCAGAACTGCACACACTGAGCACTGCACAGTGTGGAAGCGACTGTATGAACATTGCTGTCACTGTTGCCTCAGCCTGCCATCCAGGCATGAAATCTGCCTGCTCACTCTCAAAAATCGCCTCCAGTGGAGGAGAACTTCCCCACAATCACAAATTACTTTCCTTGTGAACCATGGCTACAGAAATCTCTATGAAAAAAAAACACTATAGTACAGAGCAAGTACCATAATGCACACGGAGAGACGTTTTGTGTGTTTCATCATCAGAAACAAGAGACATGATACAAGGGCCCAAGCAGCTTTCATGGATCTCACGACCTCCCTCAGCACACCACAGCCAGCCACATGGCAGCCCACACACCTCCAAGCTCCTCCATGACCTTATGTATGACAGCTCCAGCAGCCTTGAATCTACATGTATAACTCTCATATATTACCTTCAATTATGTACAAAAAGGCTAATTTATTACACTGTTTTAACTAAGGTTTTTTCCTATCTGCTGGCAAGATGTGTTTTTCCCATACACGTGAGGAAGTTTTCCCAAGTGGTGTCAAGGGGAAAAAAAATGTTTTTCCTGAAGACTGCCCAAATTACTGAGCTTGCAATGAGTGATACAGTAGCTACAGTGTAACTAAGAGGATTGAGTCGTGCCTGCTTTGGGCGAGGTACAAGGAGTTCTTGATAGGTGTCAGCAGATGATCGCACCCTGGAGGTATTTCACCTGTAGGAAACAGGTGAAGAAACCTAGGGAAAGGGGCAGCTGCCTGAACAAATCACTCGACTCAACTTAGCCACCCGAGGGCACCTGCAGCATCTGCCTGGGACTCATAATGCCAAAGGACATTTGCGGGACCAGTGCTCTTCTGCAGCGCCAGCTGCACAGGCACATGAAATGGCACTGGCTCACTGCACTTCTGTGCCTGAATCACTCTTCAGGAAACGGGGCTAAGAGCAATTGGAAAAGCTGGCAACTGCAAGGACTCAACTTACTCTCCTGTCTGCAGTGTTACAATCTCACATGAAGGTCTGACATTGGGAATATCATAATCCGACAGTTACCAAGAAGACAGTAAAATAAAGGGCAACGACACACCCTCTTTGCTCTATTTACAAATGTCATGGTCATATGAGACACCAGTCAACCACATCAGGAGACTAAAACTAAACCACAATAGGATACGTTGATAAATATTTATTTCAAAACACCATGGCCTTTACATGACTAATGTTAATGTGATTTCAGACTGAGAAGAAAACAACCACCATTGAGTGCAAGATAACCATATTGAGAGTAGTGAAACAGGTACCTACCAACCTGTTTTTTATTCTGACTTAAAACCATGAGCGAGTCTATCAGTCGGTGCTATCGTTGCCTGTGATACACTGGTGACTACTATGCAGGATGACTATAATGCCTACAGGAATCATCTACTGCAGCCATTTGCAAAAAGTAGGATTCATCTTCTCAGGACAGCGTGGGCTGGTTTCACACACCAGAGCCCATATCATCCAGGCATTAGAAAGTGTCTGCTTGGAGTTTTAGGAGAACTGTATTCCAAGTTAGATAATTATCAACAGTGAACTGAACAGCTGTTAATTAGTCAGTGCCCCTCTCTTCAGCAAGGAGAAGTTACTGCAAAGACGGAATTCATAGGGGAAAAAAAAGCCCCAAAAGCCCCAGTAAAGATTGCAGCCCTTTGTGGCCCATACCGTGCTTGTCACAGGGCAGGGAGAGGGAATCAGCCTATCGCAGCATGTTGCAATCGCCACGGAAATGTCTTGCTCTTCTTGTTTCTTCTCCACCCTTGTTCGGGGAGTTAAGGTAAGGTGGGAAAACAGCTGCAGCACTGTGGGCATCCTGCCTGGACACCCAGCACTACAGCAGCAATGCTCCTGCAGCTTGTTGTGTAGCTCTGTTGTTCTTCAGCTGTTTTCCTTAACTACCGCTTCTCTAATTGCTATGATTTAGGTGAAGAAAATCCATCAGAAACCATGAGCTGTTCCTGTGGTAGGTATAGGAGCTGCACATCAGACAAGATGGCTAAGGATCTACTGAGGCAAATGGCTCTGAACTGAACGAATTTGGAGATGTGACTTGACTTGGGGAGAGGGAGGTGCATCTAACATGCACTGCCCTACATAAGTCTACAGAACAACTGTTCAGACACTTCTCTCTGAGCAACACAAGCTCCGAGTGTAAAAGCATGGCATCCAAGGGAGTTTAATGGACTGGAAGCCCCACAGAAAGAAACACAGAAGCCCCAGGATGGCTGGAGTTTACATTTGGCTCTTTTGTCTCCGTATGCAGCCTGGACCCCAATTACAAAAGCACATAAGCAGCTTTATAGGAATTGCCCGTCCATCGTTGCCCCAGAAATAAGGAAAGGGAAACTGCATGGCTGGGTATTTCTCCAACTTCTCAGTGAGCACAGAACCATACAGTGCAGGATGCTTGGTAAAGCAGCATGCTTCAAATGAGACACCTGCCTTCTCCTGGTTGATGTATCCAGCACGTCCAAGGGCAATAGACTACACTGCTTGCTGTGAATGGCTGGTGCACCAGCTCCTCTCTTCTACCTCCTCCAAACAGCACAGGCCCAGGTGCTGAAAAGACTGCTACTTGTAGCAACAATCCCCACATCAGTAGCCTCATGTATCTGAAGAGCCGTGGTGAAGAACTTCCACTCCAAGCTCATTACAGCCTCACTACTCCTTAAATGGAGAGGATTTTCTAGAAGCACCAAGCATGCAGGTCTAGAAGCTATTTTAGACATCACAGATCGCAACACCAGCACCATGCACACTCACCCCAATGCACTCAGCTCAGCAATTCACCAAACATACTTGGAATTTGAAGAGCCAACAGGGAAACATGGTGCTAATGCTGACAGCCTGAATTTTAGCTGTCCAGTGATAAGAAGAGCTATAGAAAGTAAAACATCTCAGTGCACGTATTCATTCCACTTGTCTGTCATGAATATGCCTAACTTGCAACAATTCCCAAGTTTTTTTTTCTCTACAATTGGTCACTTGCATGACAGAAAATGTATTTCTGGTGAAAAATAATATACATGGCCCAGCACTGTATGCATCATTCACATTCAGTGGGAAAGCATTCAGTGCAGTGGGAAAGAGTCATCTTAATGAATGCTGCAAAACGCATAAACAGATAAGTTACATTCAATTCCTAAGTACACAAAATGCACATAAAAATGAGACCTCCCACCGAGATGGCAGAAAAGTCAAACTAAACAATGGGGAAAGGACAGTCACAGATAATTGTGTACTTACAATTAAGTGCCACAAGCAGACATTTCAGAGATACCCCCCATATCAGGACTTTGCCACATGCAGAAGTAAATTTCTCTTGCTTTGACAAAACCAGCCATTTTGGAACGACTCTGATAGGCAGACAGCAGGACAGTGTGATATTCCTGTGTTCTGCTAGCTTTTGATTATCAGAGAACATTTTCCTTATACAAGATGCATAATAGAAGCAAGCATGTATCGCAAGGCAAATTCAAGCAAAACCACCAGCAGCATTTCAGGAAAAAAGTATCTTTCCAAGCATATGCTTGCTCTGCTAGTAATGATACAAGTTCAGAAGCTAGCAGTGCAGCATGAAGTGTTACCTCAAGAAATACACCTACTTCGACATTTGCACTCTGTGTAGAGCATTGCTAAAAGCTCATGGACTTTACAAAATGCGTTAGCAATCCTGCAATGTAAATCTATGGTTGAATCCATCAGTTAGAAGGAGGGCAGTGGACTTTAATCCATGTGGTGGAAGAGCTAATTCAAAATGTGAGCTCAATCACATCCTCTTTGTTATCTACTCACCAACATTCAATATAGCCTTCATGAACCTGTAGAAAGTCTTAGAAGACAGCTCCAAGAAGCATGCAGTATACACTTCATCTTAAAAGAAAGGCTTCCTCTGAAAACCAGCTATAAGTTTGTACATTAACACTGACAACTATATCCGCTTTCAGCCCTGGAACATATTTGTACTCGGAGCTCTCAGACAATGCAAAGGCTGAAGGAAGATCACCATCATTCCAGAACAGAAAACAGCAGGAATTAGTTATAAAAGCTCCTGGGCTTGAGGTTCTGGACTTCAAGTTTCACCTTCCCAAAAACACAGGAGAAACGAAGACACACTGGAATCTTGACTCCAGTATCTCACAACCATAATCCGTCTCCCGTACTTCCCAGGGTGGCAGGTCTGCCCAATCCCCTCTACCACATCTGCCAGCCCCATCTCATCACACTTCCAAAACAAAGCCAATTCCGTCCAGTGAACCTGCAGAACTCTTAGATAATGAAAAAGATTGTACCCGAATACAGTACAGAACTCGAAGTACCATCAAGCAGTTAACACAAGCAGAAAGCTCCTGCTCAGCTTTGTGCTTTCCACATCATCAATATCATTAATCTCTGAGTTTACCTGCAGCAGCCATACAGCTCAGAGTTTGCTGTGGATTCATAGTCATCCAGACGTTTCCACCACATGGGTAGCAAGTGCTGTTAACTTTTTCTGGAAGCAAAAGGAAAAAAAAAAAAAAAAATCTAAAACAAAACAACAAAAAAAGACTCATAAGCATTTACTGAATATTTACACACTTTCATTAATAACTGAGGGAAGGGAGCAGAAAAAGGGGAAAGAAAGCTTCAAATCATTTTAACGATCCTTAAGCCCATATATTTGCATATGTAAGGGTAGCATAAGGATACTGTACCCACAGCCTGTGGTCAGACCAAAGTCGGTACAGAGACTACATGTCCACATGTGCAAAATGCAAAATCTCAAGGAACTGCACTGTTGGAGCCAAATGCTTTGCTGCCGATACTCAGTATGACATGGAAAACACCTGATCCAATTCTGATTTAGCTATTTCAATAGGCCTTTACTGTCAGCTCACTAAGACGTAGAAAAACAAAACTCCCATAATTTAGTGAGGAACAAAACATACTCCAGCTTCTCTTTTTCACAGGTTGCTTTATGAAGGAGCAGCTCTGGAGCAGATGCTTTTAGTAGTACGTGTGCTTTGGTTTTACTTTCAGACTCCCATGTGCTAAAAGCAGCACCTCATCCACTCCAGCTCCCGCACAGGAACTGCACGCACAGCTAAGGCAGAGCTGCCCTGCAGCTGCTCCTGGCTCAGGCTGGTTGGCGCAGCCCTGGAAGCACCACTCTGCAAAATGCACCATTAACACAGTAACAAAACAGCCCCAACTCACCTCCCCTACAAGCCTACTGCTAAAATGCCCTCAGTAAATGTTCTCATTTCCCCCAACCTCCCTCGCCCCCCAAGAGACTACCCTCAGCCCTTTGGAGGCAGAAAGACCACAAATTCTGCTTATGTCCAAGCTTAGAAGCCCTTTTCCCCTCTGCAGGTGACCTTGCACTGGAAACCACAGTTCCCGGGGGGTATTTCAGCTCTGTTTAAATTAACGGTTCCTCAGCACGATCCCTGCAAAGGGCAGCGCAGCTCAGGGCAACACACAGCTGTGTTTGCACAGTTAAACCGTGTACCTAAACTCCTCGAGACAGGTAAGGAAAGAGAATGACCAACGCCACCTTAAGATAAAGGAATTCCAATCCCGTCGAGGTTTTACAGCAGACATTCCCCAAAAAAAGATCTCTGAGGAGAGTCACAGATCACGCACAGCGTGACCTCCAGCCGCGCCCGCCCTGAGGCGCAGCATCGCCACGCGCACCTCGCGCCCCAGCCGGGAGGCTCCCACCTCGCGGAACCGTTGGTAGTCGCGGCCCGCCCGCCGGGCCGAGCTGACCAATCGCATCGCAGAGCGGGAAAGGCGGCGCCCTATGGCTGCAAGGAGGGAGGCCGCGCGCCCGTCCGCCGCGGAGCTGTGCTGGGAGTGGCGAGCGAGAGGGGCGCCGAGTGCGGCAAGGTTCTGCTCGGGCGTTGGAGGGGAGGCACGGGGAGTGTGGCGCCCGTAAAACGGCTGCTTCACCCTGCCTAAAGAAGCAGGAGACCTTGCCGGGAACGTTTCAGCTCCTGAGCGCCCACAGGGAGAAATCCGTGTAAAAAAAATGAGAACGGCAGCTGCAGGAAGGCGGGGCTCCGGTCCCGTGCCCGCCGGGTGCCTCCCTGCCTCCCGCCCGCCCGCAGAAGCGCCGGGGAGACCTCGCGGCAAAAATAGCTCTGTGTCAGATAAACGGGCGCGCGGCGGCTGTCTGGTGGCTGCTGGTAAAAGCCGTGGTGGCGTTACGGAAAGCGGTGGTGAAAAAGGGGAACCGAGAGCCTCCAAGGAGCGGCGGGAAAGCTCGCCGCCCGCAGCGGAGACACCGAGAGCGGGCGGTGCCAGCGGGATGCGGGCGTGCGGCGGCGCGGCCGAGAGGAGCCGGGACGGCCCAGGGCTGCAGCCACGAACGTCGGGGCCGCGCGGGGACCGGCGTGGCCGCTGTGACGCAGTGGCAGCGGGGCCGTGCAGGGATGGGCGGCGTTTTGGCTGACGGAGCCCAGGAGCGGTGCCAGCCCAGGGACAGTCCGATCCCGAGTGCGGTCGCAGCACGGAGATCATCTCTCACTTGGGAGAAGCAATTCTATGGGGCTCCAACTCCTGCTTGTTTGCTCAAGCCGAACGGAGTAACTATAAACTAAGAATAAATACTAATTAACCGGAATCTTTCCTTGTGTCGTGATCTGAACCAGACACCGTGTCTATCTTTAACTTTATGCTGCTTTGAGATGCACCCTCTGTCTGCAGCAGGCAAAAATAAGATCCCTTCCTTCAGTAAACTTAATCACAGACCTCACTGTAGGACAGCATTTCTTGGCAGAGCTGTGCTGTTATCTCTAAGCGCTGTGTCCTTACCAGCATTTGAGCAGACGCGCATTCTGTGTCTCCAGTGCGATTGCTTTCATGATCAAGGATCATTTAATCCTGTAACTTTCCTTATCCTGATGGAAGAAGAGGGGAAGGTGAATTGCTCCTGAGTGGGAACATCTTTTTCAGTACGTGCAACAGTTGTACTGAGGCTTTCTGTAAGACACAGATGAAGACCGCTGAGATTTTTCCCTTCAAAGCTGGGGTCAGCAGGGTGGATATTCTGAATTATCTTATGTTGAGCTGAAGGAAATCAGTAGTGCTTTATATAGATTTTAATATCAGAGAGAGAATAATAGAACAGGATTTAAAATGATTTTTTTTCCTAAGTGTACACATTTTCCAAGCTCTCTTGTTTTTAATTTTTCTTTTGTTGCATATAGCTTCAGTATTTTCTAAATTTCTGTTGAAAGCTCTTATAACAACATGTATTTTTTTGTTACAACTGTTGGTAATTATGCAGGCAGCATGCATACAGAGGGTAAACTCTATGCTTGTTTTACACTGTAAATGTCAAGATCTTCCATAAATGCAGCTGCATTCTTTTGTCGAAAAATAACTAATTTGAGGAAATTATGTTCAAATTTCAAAAAACAGTTAAAGAGGTATTTAGCAGCTCTTATCAAGAGCTATGCAAAGTCAAATTCTGCCTAGTTCCACCTCTCAAGCACCTTCTGACACAACACGGTCTTGTACCCACTAGGTAGGTAGCCGATTATCAGCGATAGAATTTTCACATCACTTCACCTTGGACTCGCTGTAACTCTGCAGGGCTCCTCAGGAATAAACAGAGAGAGAAAGTCTGCCCAATGATGTGGATACAGAAGTTTTTAACTGTAGATGAAATCATAAAATAAAGTCTCTACCAGTTAAAAGTTGCATGAACGCTATTTGAATGGTGTAACAATACAATTTGTTCATTCAGCATGAACATCACCTGTACATAGCAGCTCAGCGAGCCCAAAGCTGAGTCCGGCAGTGCCATCTACCCAGGCAATGGTGCACCTGTCCATCCGCAGGGCCTCCTGGTCTGCAGGACACACAGCTCATGGCGAGGCCCAAACCTTGCCCACCCACTTGTTGCATGGCCATGTGAAGAACTGCTTAGGTGTCAGTACACCTGCTTTGCAACAGGCACCTCTGAAGCAGAGAGGATTGGGTGCCCTGTGCATCTGACTGTGAGTACCACAGCTACCAGCACCTACAGCTGCCCCTAGAGAGGGTGGCCAGGCAAGGGAGAAGGGCTGTGTGTGTCCCCAGAAGTCACCTCTTCTACTTCTAAAGGAAAGATGGAGAAGAGAATACTCTTTCCACAAAGCTAGAAAGCTTCAGAAAGCTAATCCCTAATAATTTTGATTTGTTAGCTCGACTGGAAACGAGAGGAAACTGTATAGCTGTGAAGAGCTACACCAACAATAGTAGTTTTTTCTTCTCCTACAGAAAAGCTCACAAGTGAAAGAACCACAGTTCCATCCCCCTGAGAAGCAGGAACAGGTATTTGATAGCTAAAACTACTGAGGATGCAATACATTCCAGCCTCTTGGTGAGCCTAGCCACCACCTTCCTCCTCTCTGTACATTCCAAAAGCAGCTGTGATTCTAAGGTCATATAGCACTAAGCTGGCAGAGAAAAGCACAAGGGACAACCAGAAGCTGCATAATTCCTTCCCAAACTGATGGGAAGGAAATGCTTTTGAACATCCCGCTAAAACGAATGCCAAAACTGTTCTTAAGCTTTATTTCAGATTTTATTTAGGGTATTGGACAGATGACTGCTGTCAGTAGGAAACACCGACCAGTATTTAGGCTACCTAAATAGAGTCCCAAGTGCTTGCGTGTATTTTAGACACATAAAGCAGCTCTATGGCCAAGAATCCTGTCCTTGAACTGAAAAGTCATGTCTTTTGGTGCAGTCTCATAGCCAAAACTGCCATTGTAACAAAGGTCCAGGCATCTCCTTTCCTACGCGCGGGTGGTTTCAAGTCCTGAAGTGGTTATAAGAAGCAGTGCCCCGTAGAACACGAAGCTTAGGCGGATGAGTAATATCTGAAGTTGGAGGCAGTGAGTGATGACCTGCATATTATGTGCTTTTTATTTAATAATTTATAAATAAATATCAGCTTTCCCCAAACTGTCCCTCAACCCAGCAATTATATGTTGGCTGATTTCTTGTTAGTGCTGTTCTTTTCTAATAACAGACTGTTCCCAAAGCCTCACATACAGAGACTTAGACAATCAAAGCACTGTGTGTGATTTTCCAGTTAATTCATTCAGTTAGCTGGAATTAAAACAATACAATTCAAAGCCTTGTGTGTTTCCCTGCAAAAATACAAAACTTCAGTCGTTACTATTAACATACACAACCTACAAGAAAGAGTTAACAGAGCCCCTTTGTCTTCCCTGCTGTAGTAATTTTTTTATCCTTTTCTGTAGACATCTCAGCAGTCATTAATATTTCTTTCAGTCTCTGTTCTTCAAAAGACACACACTTTTCATTCAATTGCACAGAAAGAGAAGGAATTCAGTGGGCCAGATTCCCTCTGTGGTCAGATCCATTCACTACAGCTGCCTAGGGGGGAATCTAGGTGGAGGGGTATCGTCAACAGGAAAACTGAACTACAAAGGGAAGAGGTCACCATTTTTGCAGGTACCAATCCGAATTTGGTCAGATTTCACCTAGAAGCTTTACATGAATATTTCTGGGAAAGCACTGTCTTCACAAATACTGATTGCTGCTCATGCATTTAATACAGGTGGCATAAGTTTTGCCAATGTAGAGCCATTTCTGTTTTACTGGGCTTCACAAATTAAATTTAAATTAAATTAAATTTGATGACAGTCTAATTCATATTACACCAATTTCAGAGGTGCAAAAGGGAACAGTAGCTATATCCTGCCCCATGCTTCAGCATTCAGGTATACTAATAGAGCATCTGTGGCTGTCTCCCACACTATCAATCTCCTTAAACACTGGACAGATTTCCATATACCAAGAGACTGTGCATATCATGTTCAAAAAGAGGTAACATTTCTACAGCTGAGGCTGCACAATGTTTGCCCAAGTATCACAGTGTTTCCTGAGCTTCTACAAGCAAGGTGCAACACTTGGTTGGTCACAGTACTATCCTGAATAGAAGACTATACACCTGACACACTATTATTCGGTATCTCAATTCAGTGTTTAAGCTCTAATTTTTGATAGAGGTTTTCATTCAACCTACTTCTGCAATAGAATGGCAAGCCACTAATTTTAATCTATAATTTTAATTATTATGAGCATTTAATTTAAGCTCAGTTACTCAAGAAATAAGTATTCTGCCTCCTTCAGTAAAATGTTATGAAATTTATTCAAATGTTTACTAAATTGTGTGAAGTTGTAGTTGAAGAATTTGTTCTGAGAATTTGTGAATACAGTCCCCCAGGAAAAAGTAACACCAAAATGTGTGTCAGAACAGAACTCGTGAAGTCTGATCCAAAAAGAATTCACAGTTTACTCAGTGCTCACCTTTATTCTTTCCTTGGAAAAGAAAGTAAGATAGTACTGGAACTATTCTTGAGTTCCAGTACTCAATGGCATGAAAAATGGGACTGCAAAGCAAAGAACCAAACCCAGCATTTATTTTCCAGAAAGGTGAAAATATGCCAAGCCCATTTCCAATTGCAGAAATACTTTCCAGTATTTTCTCTCCTTCCACTTACTGCAGTTCTACAAAGATGTTATTTGGTGACAGATGACAAGGAAGGCAATTCAATGAACAAGATACCTATTCCAAAGATCTAGTGATTAAAAGAAAGGCTAATATCTTTCTCCTCACACTCCTGACACGACCACAGGCTTGAAGAATCTGGCAATCTGTATATAATTTGAGTGAAGGAGGTCCACTTGAAAGACTGCATCTCTAACTGTTGATGAATGTTTCCAGCAACAGTTCAAAAGCAACAATAACAAAAAAATTTCTCTGCTTGGAAGAGGGTTTTTTCCAAATGTGTTCTCTTAGCTTAAGTTGCTATAAGAGATAGCACTAGGCAGATAGCAACTGTATGTGTTCTATAATAAGTATACTTTTCATAAGGCATTTCAAGGCAAATAGATTACTAACACATTCTAAAAGTTAAACTGTGTATACCAAGGATGACATTATTGCAGTGAGCTATATACAGCACGGCACTGTCCATGAAATCAAAGAGATAATTCATATCACATTAATACACTGACATTATTGCCTGATCTATAAATACTGATAATATTTTCATTACCATCTACATTTAACATTCTTTATCCTTTCAAGTGCCTTTATGTCCAATACCTGAAAACATGTGATACAGTTCCACAGAGTAAGTCCAGAAATCACATCAAGGAAGTTCTTTATTGGTTTCTCTCAATGACTTTCAGATTAAAACTGCTCATTTTATAAATGCAGTAAAGGTTTTTGTTAAGTGTCTAGTCTAAAAACATATGGTTGAAGTCAGTAAGTTTTTTCAATTCAGCAACAAACGACCCTGTAACTAGAACAAAGTTAATAACTGTTGATGACACACATGCTAGAAGAAAAAAAACAAAAACAAAAACAAACAAACAAAAACAAACAACAAAAAAACCCACCAGTGCCTCACTCCTTAGTATCAGAAGAAGAAAATCATACTTTAGAACTCAAAGAAAATTATGGAGTACACAAAAGGAAGAGGTTTGTATACGAAACTATCAACCTACTCACCTTTCAGGCATTTGCTTCATTAAACTCCCAAGTATCAGTGCAAGAATGAGTATAAATACCAGAATGTCAAGGTAAGAAACACACAGACTTTGTAAATCTGTTCACAGTAGTGTTCCAGATTGGTGCTAAAATAAGAGTTATGAGCTACATTCATTTCGAGTAAATGTAAGAAGATCTATACTCAGCTCAGGCCTTCTTTAGTCATCATCTATTTGTGAAGAATGGAAGGAATTACTGCTTCTCTAGAAGAGAACTCATCTTTCTCAGTTACAGAACATGAAAGTGAACAAACTCTGGCCTTTCTCCAGTTCAAATCAAGGAGAGCTGCATGTACGAATCCCTGAGGCTGAGATCTGTTCA